TGTTGCACTCATGCTCTGGTTCAGCCTCTCATTGCTCAAACTTAACAATTCCCATGTTTAGCATTTTGTAATGCAACCATTTTATTATCTTTCATCATTTTTTACAATAGAAATAAATGAGAAGTTATAGAAATTAAGATCATAAAACAAGAAGTGCAACATTTGCCCTGCAAATAGAAATTCCAGCACTCATTATGCATTCAATTAAAGCATAAAAATATAGTTGCTCCATTTTTTAACATGCACACCATTAATTATTTCCCTTCAAAGGTCCCTATAGAATTGTAGCTTCAGTTCCTCTTATATAAACTATAGAACATGAAATTAAAGAACTAACCAGGCAAGTTAATTTTTTCCCAGGCAAAGTTGCCTTATTTTTAGCATCAAAATTGCAGACCTTTTCATTGATCAGCAATTTCTTAGCAAATTTGGTGACCTATGTGTACCTATGTGTACTTATATCATCTCACACTCATTTGTACACCTATCTGCACAAATGAACCTTGGTTCTTGGTCTGTGCCCTAAGGTCTTCTTCCACCCTTCCTGTTTTTCATGGATTTACTCAAATCCTGACATTACCTTCCTTGATTGTAGCACAGAAATCTGCATCTTCCCAAGAAATACAGCATATATGTGAGTGATAGTCAAGGTAGCATTTCCAAATCTGATTTCATCAACTTGCTGTATGAAATTGCTGAACTGCCAGCTGCATGTTCTTTGCATATATAATTGCAGTTATATAACTAATTAAACAGAGTTTCAAATGAGCTTTACGGTAGCAAAAGTGCACAATTCACTTTTCATCTTCTCTTGTCTAAATATTAATATCCTGCTAAGGAAAATAATTAAGGAATCTCCTACTGTTGCAGGGAGGCATATCCATTAACTTCTCCTATAATCCTTGTACTATTTTTTTTTCCAGTTCTCTGGTAGTTGTTGGCTCCTAGTTTCTTGTCTTCTCTCCTCCAAAAAACATCCATCCCAAAAACCCATTCAGGATAAATTAGTCCACCTCTTTGTAGATGTTTCATTACCTGACTAGGAAACATTATGTTACCTGGTCAGGTAATGAAACATCTCTGAGCAAGTGACTGGAGAACATTGTGGGTTTTTTTAAAGCATTTGTTTGTCTAATCAATACATTTAGTTAATTGCATATAAAGCATACAATACACAGAGTCCCTCAAATGCATATAAAACAATGTATATTGGGAAATCATATATGCAGGATCTGTATAACTATGGCATTTTGGTATCTGACTTTCAAATTATTTAAACTATCAGTTAAAGTTGGAATTGAATATATATACACATTGACACAGATGGGAATCTGCTCATTCCTAGCTGACTACAATATGTTATATGCCAGCGGTCCCCAACCTTTCCAGCTTGGCAGCCCAGCACAGTGCAAGGGGGGACATGTGAGTGACAGACGTACACACTCACAGCTCCATTCGTGCCAGTGGCGTATACGTGGGCCCTTTAGTTGTGTGAATGGAGCTTCGCGCTCGAGCAGAGGCTGTTTGTGCTCATGTGCAAAGCTCCACTAGAGTGAGCAGCAAGTACTTGCACCCAAAGCTCCACTTGTGCAAGGGGAGGGCACTCACACGCAAAGCTCCATTTGCTTGTAAGCTTTGTGTGAATGTGCTTGCTCAAGCAAATGGAGCTTTTTCTGCAGGCGCTTGCCCATTTCAGTTATATAAAATGGTGTGTATGCCAATTTATGCCTATGAAGAAACTGATTCAGAATAATTTTCACAGCTGACTTGGTGTCTAAATAAGAATTAGACCAATATCAGAAGGAATAAAAATACCAGCAAAGAATTAAAGACCCTCAAATATATAAAAATTATATTATAATTGTCATTTTTAAGAATTTAATTAAACCCATAAAAATTGGAAATTTATGCATATAGGACTTTATATGTGCATCACAGGTTTTTAATTTTACAGCTACATGTACAATACACGCTTTCTTTTAAAATGCATTGGTTTTTCTATTTTGCATTGTAAAGATCTTCAATTTTCTTTCAGTTAATTCTATATAGGATTTTAAGTGTAATTCATTGAAGGGGATTTATTGGAATTGCCCAGTCATCTCTCCCAATAATTACTCACAAATTTGAGTTGCCATTCTCAGTTCCTTTGCTTTTTAAGATCTCAGCTACAATAGACTTAAATTACAAGTTCTGCTATCTGTGCATTCCTGTCACATTTCAATATGTTTCTAGCTAGATATTTGTT